CCTCGGTCGATCGAATGGCGATGCGTTGAGGCTAGGACCAGGAAGCCGGGGGGGTGTCTGTCTCAACGTCAGACCGACCTGTAGAAGGCAGAAGGCATGAAAAGAGCCTTGAAAGTAAGAGGATCCAAGAGGAAAGGCGCCTTCCAAGCAGGCAGCAAGGCACTTCCATGAATGTCCGCTTTCTGATTCCAGGCAGATCAGGTACAAAGTTCTATCCTTTGTCATCACTCTATGCCAGTCCTCGTGTCTCAACGCCGCACCGTCGTTCCGTTCCGCCGCGATCGGATTCTTTCGGTGAAACCGGTGGCCCGGGCTTGTCAGTGGCGCGCAACTCATCCAGGCTGTGTGCGAAGCTGCAGTCCTGAAGGTGGTGTGCTGAAACGAAAATCAGAACTGGCACTCCCAACATGGAATAAGTTCAGACCGAGAGGTCTTCTTTGAGGGTTTGTTTCTCAAAGACTGGTTCCCTTCAATAGCTGGGGGCAACCAGCAGGAGTCAACACTGGATAGAATGTGTCGTACAATGTCATACACTTTCTTGACAGGACAAGATCAGGCTCAAAGGACCTATTGATTCTAGATTGTTCTATTTTACACACCACCAGACACACAAACACTCAGACGGAAAACGTGGCAATGTCACAGTTCCTCAACCGGAAAACGAAAAAATAAATGCAAATCTTCAAGCCAATACGTTGCATTGCGTTGCATGTCTGGATGTCTGACACTAACACGCGTTTTTCGCTACAGATCGCCTGACCTCAGTTGGGTACTACCAATCATGGGGATCTGGCTTTGACTCGTCCATCTTTTGCACCCATCCTACCTCTGTCCATCCTACTCCGTGCAGACCGCGCAAACCTCGATGTCGCATCGCTGCGTCGTCAAAAAGGTCTTGCACATGGCGGTCTTCCTGGCCAAGGCAGTCTTCTCAGGAGGCAGCTGCAAAAACCCCATCTCCGGCTCATAGGGTTGGGGAAGCCAGTGAACCCTGCCATGGTGACCACGTCAGTGAAGCTAAACACATGCAAACTAAACGACGAATGAATGCTGTGGGGAAACACGGCCTCACAAACCAAGCGCGCTCTGTGAACATATTTGAAGAACTTCAGGGGGGGACACAAACCACATGAAGAGGTTTTCAAACAAATAGAAATGGTGTGCATCACCTAGTAGAAGCGGTCTCACAGTTCAATCTTTGTCGGCAACACTAGCAGGAAAAACAAATCCCCAGTGCGTTTCACATTCCTCGAAGCCAAGTCAACCTTAAAGAAAAGTTTGGAAAACCATCTTTCTGTGCTACTACAGAAAGATTATATTATATTATATATATATATACATACACCTTCCCCAATGCTCCACAGCAAGCAACAGGGCACTCTTCCCGGAGCGCCTCACGGTTTGTCAAGTGATGTACACGCGACCCCACATGGCGCTTTAGCCACTCACCGGGTGCGAAGCCCATTTGCAACCTTCTGTTTGTTTGTCGTCCCAATGGACTCTGGCCCCTTCTCGCCGCCTTTGCCTTTTCCTCTCTCCTTCCCCTTCTTGCCGTCCTTGCCGGGGCTCCCTTTTCCGTCCAGCTTGCCCTTCGGCTGGTGGTATCCCTTCAGCTTCAAATTCAGCACGCGCTTCCGATTCATGAAGACTTCCCCGTCCCTCTCGAGAAGTCCTCCGGCGTCCGGCGCAGGAGCTCTATAGGCACTGAGCCGCTGACCAATGCCATCCATGCAGCTCTTACCGCCTTGACCCTCTGCCCCAGTACGTCTCCGGCGCCAGAATGTCCAGCACGGTCGCGTGAAAGTAGTGCACCGCGGCCGGGGAGTGAGCTCTCCCAGTCTTCCGCTTTCGCCCCCGCAGATACTTGGGCCCTCCAGCTGCATCTTCAGCAGAAGCCTTGATGCTGGCCCGGCATCTTCCTGGAGTACTGAATCAGCTTCAGCTGATTGGATGCCTCCTCGCCGAACAGCCCTTCATCTTGTTCACTCGGCGAGCTACACTCTTCATCCACCTTCTTTGGCTTTTCCCTGGCCACTTTGGCCTCCTTCTATTTTTTCTGCGCCCTTCAAAGGCTTGGAGCCGTTGGCTTTCTCTTCTCCTGTCGAGGTGACCTGTTGCGCTTCCGCTCCTTCTCCTTTCCTTCTTCTTGTTATTATTCTTTGGCTTCGCCTTTGAACTCTCCCGAGGGCCGTTCTTGCGTGAAAGTGCCTTCTCAAGGCGGCCGCCCTCATCAATTATTCCTTCAAGCCCTTCTTCTCAGAGCTCTCAGTTGAGCCACCTTCTTCATCTTCACTTTCGTCCTCGCCTGGATTGACTCAGGGTAAAGCTTCAGTTCCCACTTCTTTGCCTGGCTCCATCTTCCTTGACTTCAGGTAGGACGTGGATTCCTTGATGCAGCCCTTTGATTCAAATGCCCAACTTGGCAACTAGCTGTTGAACTCCTTCTGGGTGAGCTGCCTAAATCTCTCTACATGAATTGAGGCTCCGCGGCGTGTGACCTTGGCACCCTCACAAAGGTGATATGCAGCGCACACTTATTGGTCACGCGCTGCCCTTCACCTTCTTACATCCACCATCTCACGTGGGCGTCAATCGCCATGACGTAGCTCCCATGGAGCCAGTGGCCCGTGTCATCAGTGGAGATGGCATCCATCACCTCGAAGATGACCGTGCCCTGGGCCTTGCCATCATTGCCCTTGATGGCCCCTTCCCGGACCATGCCTGGAGTGAAGCGGTTGCCTTGAGCCCAAAGCTAGCGAGCGGTACGAGAAAGGAATTCACCCCAGTGGATGTGTGTCAATTCCCATGTCAATACCAGCTCTACCCCTTTTAGACCAGTAGAGTAGGGAAAGCTGTCGAGTCGAGCCCTTGACCAATCCGGACAAACGCCCTCCTTCTCTTCAAAACGGTCCGGTCCGGTGCATGCGGAGAGACGACCAAAACGACCCGTCTTCCGACCCCGCGGGAGGCGGAGCTCCTGAGGTCCGGCGCCCTTTGAAGCTCTTCCATGCCATGCGCAAACTTGCAGAATTTCCGGCCTCGACCGATGTGGGGGAACGCCACGCGTGTTCTACTGGTCGGGAACGCCACGCGTGTTCTACTGGTCGGGAACGCCACGCGTCGTCTCGACCACATCTGGCTCAAACGGGTGGCCTCATGTCCAGAGCAAAGCTTATTGAAGCACGATCCCTACCAGAAGTTACCCAAATCAATCCCAAATCTCTCAGTCATGCACCAAGCTAGGTCACCACAATTGCAACATCGCACGTCCAGGAAGGAAAGGTGGAAGAGAAAAAGGGCTGGCCACCCATCCCGAAACTGGCCACAACTCTGCCAACTCACCAGCCGCTCCCAGATCAACCGGTTTGGCCCAGGTCCACTTCTGGTGGCCGGTCGAGGTCCCGACTGCATCGACCACTTTGGAAGAAAATGCAAAGCTTCGTCCTCCCCGGCGGCCGGTCATCCGGCCGGAAGCCGCGAAACGTGAGTGTGAAGGTGACGTGTGAAGCAAATCATGGGATCTACTGGATTGGTATGTGAATCTACTCCTCAATTCCTGATCTTCTGTCTATAAAATACTGATCAATCTCAGGTGGGATGAGAACGTGGGAGCCGATCGCAACCCCCATATATAAGATAAAAGCAACTTGGGCAGTCAGCATGCTTGCGTTTTATCGCTCCAACCGTTGGTTTTACAGTGGTTCTGGCCACCCTTTTCAAGGAGGACGCCCGCCTTCAGGGAAACCGGCGAAACTGCCTCCCTGCCATGTGTATCCATGTGTGAGTTACAGATCCAGCCGCGAGAGTCTGTGGATGTGTCAAGATGCAAACACGAGGCTGGCACAATGCACAGATTGGTCTCGCCATCCCTTTTGGTGCCCGTAGCGAGTCATCCACTAGCTGCCTACTTCGAGGCAGCTACTAACTATGGTGCTCTATAAGAAAGCAAGGTGCCCCGGAAAGCAGCTGCACCTGCCAGCCCTGGAAGGGGTACATGATTTGTGTGGACAGGATGACATCCCTCATCTGTGGCAGAAAAGGTGTCGTAGTTATCAGACACACCGCTGTGTGTAAACGCAGATCAGAAAAAGTGTGGGTTCAAACTTACAGGCCGACCCGAAATCAAGGGGGAGGTTTCTTCACAAGTCGGGTTTCAACCGCGGGGATCCGGGAGCAAATTCCAGACAAAGCTGGTGTCTTGCACTCGTCCAGACAAAGGTTTTTCCACGGAAGAAGCACCAACTTGGGCTGTAGGTGAAAGGCTTCCCAGTGCCCTGCGACCGGTCTCCACCGGTCGACGAAAGGATCGAGCCAGCGAAGATCTCAGCTCAAGGGAAGTCTCGACTTGCTGTTGAAGTCTCGATCAAAGCGTCCAACGGGATAGTGGCAAGAGGTTGATCTGATCAACTTGGCAACTGCTAGGGCAACCAGGCAGGTGGGGTGGGGCTTAAAGACCCAGCTGGAACGTGTGACAAGGATGGGGGGAGTCTGGCAGGGTTCTTACTTCTCAGCCAATCCCGATAACGATCTGCTAGTCACTGATGCAAGCTGAGCCCTCGAGAAGCATTTTCGGCTTTCTCCATGAAGGCTCAAAACATGCTCCACACCGCAAGATGTGCCAACCCGGAGAGTGGGAAGCCTCCACTCCACTTCTACTTTCCCCTTCCTAGATATGCACTCGTTTCACATCACACCAACACGAAACAACACCATTTTCGCATCAACAGGAGGCTCATCTCCAGGATAAAGACAAGCAACGTTCCGGTGTTTGTGGAGCGGGTTCGCCGCAAGAGCGGCGTGAAGACGTCCAATGATTCAGAGGTGTGTCTGCCAAATCCAGTTTCAGATCTGCATGTGTGTGTGTGTGTTGAATTGAATTAAATCTTGCTAAGCAGAACCAGAACCTAATCCAACAATGACAAGATTCACAATGCAATCACATATGATTGCACATCTACAGTTTTTGACATCAGCCTTACAGCTGCATTATCTGTATGCGGGCGGCTTTTTCAGATGCTTTGCACTCCAGGTCTTAGGACACACCGATTCCCGCCCTGTCTGGGCAGGTGCCTCAGATCGAAGTCTCAATGTTCTGTGGCCTGGACACGGCATGACTTGAGGATTGACATGCCAATGAAACATGATGTCTCAGGTTTTCCAACCACCTTGAGTCGGCTGACTTGAAAAAGATGTGTCCCCAAGTCAAAATATGTTTGGGAAAACCACTATCTGGCATGGCCCCATGTCACACGACCGTGGCATTTTCCCCCTCAGTCGCAAGTCGCAAGTGACCCATGCGACATCTCACACGACTGTGGTCCCACCCCAAATTGATCACTTTAGAACATCCCATACATTCATCCTTTACCGGAGCTTGCATTGTTGATCCATTCGTGTAGCCTTTCTGGGCGCAAGAAAGCAGCGCAGCTGCTTTGAGACTTTGGTGATGCCACATGTCAAGATCCACTTGGAACCAAAAAGAAACCCAAAAGGAACTCCAAAAGAAAACAATCCAGCAGTCACAAAGGGGTGCTTAATGGAGGGTACGGGGGCCCATTATCCACTCACTTAGGGACTAAACACCACCCCTTTGTGACTGCTGGATTACATGGATGTTGTTTACATGGGAAGAATGGTCCCAAAAAGGAACCCCCAAAAGCCTTCCCGATAGCAACGGCCTTCTCCACGCCCAGGACCGCGCCGCCCACGAAAAAAGGACGACCGCCAGTGCGCTCCGAGACGAGAGGAGCCAAACCATGAGAAACCCGCCACGCGAAAGACCAAGCGCACTCCAAGCCGCCGGTGTTTGTGAATCCGGTGCCTCGATGAAAAGGGCGATGTTTGAAGGGCGATGGATGTTCCGCTGAGGACCATTCCGCGAAGCTTCTTCAGTTGGGCGAAGTGGAAAAGGGTCACTCACCGACGGTTCAGTTGGAAAACATGTTTTTTTGAGATGTTCTTGATCTCAAGCTGGAAAAAATGAAAACCTCGCGCTCGGTCGCAACTGTCAGTATGACAGGTACCGAACATGTAAGGAAAATGACAAGTACCACTCCAAAGAACCTGTCTTGAGTCTTGAAATCCAAAGATCGGGCAGTCATCCCAAACATTTTCTTGCCCTCATTCTCTTTGCAAGGGTCCAGGTCTCGTCCTATCCCTTTAATCCAAGGCAAGAGTTGAACAAATCCCTTGCGATGACAATGAGGAAACCTTGAAATGGCAAAAGCAGAGTGTGCCAGAAACTACTGCGAAGCAGTGGCTGAGAGCCTTCGCACCTGTTCGACCCCTTGGCTTTATCTTCCAAGAAGCTCGTAGCCCTTCATACACATGTCCTGGGAAGCTGTCGGCCACAGTTTGGAATGACCCTTGACACTGGAGGCCAGGAAGCCTGAGTGTATGGCATTCCAACCTATCGCTGCTCATGCTTGGCGTTCCTACTCATCATCAGGTGAGAGGTTTACCACTAGGTTTACCTGAGTGCTCGGAAGAAGAAAAATGAGTCGCGAGTCGCGAGCATCGCGAGGCTAGCATCGGCTTTTGGCCAAAGTCACGGTCAACGGTCACCCAATAGAGAGAGAACGGGCGGTGCTTTTGGCGCCTTTCAAACCGATCCCGTCTTTTTTTGTTTTTTTCGGGACGAACCTCTTCGCATGTGTGGCTTCTACTCGCTGCTGGGGTCGTGGGAGAAAGGGGCCGCGTCACGGGATCTCAGACCACTTGGTCGCACAACTGGACTTGGAGGCATTTCGGCAACAGTTTCGCAAGGTTGCTGGTGCATTGTAGATGTTGATGAATAAGAACCTCCAAATGGAGATGTAAACACATTCTTGCAGGGGAGGTTCTTAAGCAACACTCTACCTTACATTGTTACATATTGTACCAATACAGATCACACGCTGCTTTGGAGCGGGGCTATATTATACCCTCATGCTAGCTGCTGCCACTTCCCACGAAACCCCTTCACCCACTAAGGACTCGGCCCGCGTGATGTAGTCTGGCAGGCGGGGGTGTGAGTCTGGCGGTCGTGAAAACACCTTCTATACAGTATATACTGACCCTGTCTCCAAACATCATGAAAATGCAAAACAAAACCTGTTAGGAGATGTTAGGAGAGGAAAACAGGTTTCGAAGTTGCTACCGTCAACTTCCATGTTTGTTCGGTAGACAGTAACTACTCTCTCTCTCTCTCTCTCACTGATGTATCCTTGCACCTGTTCACTCTATTTGTTGCACAAAGTCCCAAAAAGTTGACGATAAAGACATGTTGCTACCTTCAATTGAGACTTGGCCACCAAGAAAAATCCTTACGCTAAGCAAAGAAGAGAAACCATCAAGTACCTTCATCATCATTCGTCTAGTCTCGCTTCTCTTTGCAGAGCTCGGTTGAACCAAACATGTTTCTTTACCTACCCCTTTCTCCAAGGTCTTTGTTTCCACTAAACCATTCATCACTTCTCTGCACTACGGCTGAAGCCGTACACTAGGACCAGGAAACCACCGCAAAATCGCAACCGAACATCACCACCCCATCACCGGCCGTCACTGATCTCCAAATCTGTTCCACCCAGTTCCCCCAAACCGTCCCGACTCCTTTCGTTCGCTCACTCGGGCCAAGAAACGACGCGGATCCGCCCACCCATCCGCCTTTGCCGTCCGCTAACTGGGTGAAATTGTCTTTGATCTGCTCCTTCCAATGCCAGGTTCACGCACTGCTTGTGGAAATGGAAAAAATGGCGATCTGGGCCGGCGCCGCATAATCGCTTTGGGAAGTGGAACACGAGAGGAGCACTAAAAAAGGTTTCATCTCGAACCTCCACATGCGGGCAAAAAAATCTTTACTTCGAGTGATCCCCACCATGACATCTCAATCGTTTGCCTTCACGCCATGCTGAGGAGCATGTTGCCATGGTCGTGAGTTTTGTGGTTCTCCATTTTGCTTGTGGGTCCCCGGGTTGTGTGTGTGTGTTGTGGTTGTCTGTTGCAGTTGTGTGTTGCGGTTGTGTGCTGTGGCTGTGTGCTGTGGATGTGTCTTTGTGGTTGTGCGTTGTGTTTGTGATTGAGTCCGCGGTTGTGTTCGTGGCTGTGTGTTTGTGATTGTGGTTGTGTTTGTGATTGTGTGTTTGTAGTTGTGTTTGTGGATGTGTTTGTGTTTGTGCGTTTGTGTTTGTGATTGTGTGTTTGTAGTTGTGCTTGTGGTTGTGGTTGTGTTTGTGTGTTTGTGTTTGTGTGTTTGTAGTTGTGTTTGTGATTGTGTGTTTGGGTTTGTGGCTGTGTGCTGTGGATGTGTGTTTGTGATTGTGTTTGTGGCTGTGTGTTCGTGGATGTGTTTGTGGTTGTGTGTTGGTTGAGGTCCTGCAGCGCCCAGTGCTCTCGGGAGCTGGCGGTTGAGGTCTGGCGGGGAACACTGCCACGCGGCTCTCGCGGTTGAGGGGGGAACACTGCCCCGCGGCCCTCGCAGTTGAGGTCCGGCGGGGGACGCTGCCACACGGCCCTCACAGTTGAGGTCCGGCGGGGAACACTGCCATCCTGCACTTGCGATTCAAGTGGGGAGGAGGCGGGTGTGGTGGAAGAGGAATGCAGCTGACACAAAATCTAACAGCCCTCACCTGACAAGTGGGGAAAAATAGGGTGCGGTGGAACCCACGCGAATACGAATGCACACACGCACTCGAAAACACACGGCCAAACATTGTTTGATACTCTTGTGGGGTAATCTTGTGACACACTCTTGCGGGAGACACTCTCGCGCAACACACTTCTGGGACACTCTTGTGCGACACTCTTGTGGGACACTCTCGTGGAAAACTCTTGTGGGACACTCTTGCGGAACACTTTCTCTTTTGGCACACTCTTGTGGGACACTCTTGTCGGACGCTCTTGTAGGACACTCTTGCGGGACGCTCTTGTAGGACACTCTTGTAGGAGGCACTCTTGTGGGACACTCTTGCATCCTCCCTCGCGTCAAATCTCCACAACAAGCGTTTCGTACAAGACTTCCTGGCATCAAATCTCCAAAACGAGGGCTTCGTGTCGTATGAGACTTCCTCCAAAAATAGACATCAAAGTCTCCAAAACGAGCGCTTCTCAGAGCCTCTCAGAGCGAACACGTCAAGCAGCCCTGCCAAGCAGCTTTGCAATCCCACGCCTGCCACGAGAAACCAAATTCGACACCTCCAATACACACAAAGTACAGTGCCTGCCACGAAAAGTGACGACATGACATCTTCACGTCTTCCGCAAAATTTGCATCACACCCCGCTTAGATTGACTTGGGACACTTTTGAGCACGCTCACATCCACCAGCATCGCAATTTTAGCTGAGACTTGTCACGAAATCACCGCTTCGAGGCAACAGCCTGAAACGCAAATGCCACTGTCACAGCGACATCCAGCACCTCCAACAGACCACCCTACGAACGCCAATCCCACTTTCACAAAACGCTGCGCCTGCGCAGCAAAACCATCCTCCACACTTCAACATGTTGTGCTTCCACGCTTTTCACACGAATCTGGCGCTTCATGCGTCCATCCAAAATCTCCTCCTAAAGCTTCCCCCACTGTCAGCGCCCTAGCGACCCAACCGCGAACGGTTGCAAACAGTCGCGGACGAACAAGACTCTACCCCCAGACCCCCCAAAGTGAAACCAGAACCCTTCGCTATGCATTGGGGAACAAACGATCAACAGCAAAACCTAAAACTAAAAAAGAAATTGTGACCGAAACCCCCCAAAACGGATGCAAAAAGAGGAAAGCGCCAACAAAGATGCGGGCGAGATCTCTCTTCGGGTCGGGCTCCAGCGTCTCTTTGTCCACTGCGCCGGTGCGTAGCAATTGGATCTGCAAGAACTCGGAGGCATCGATCTTGGAGTCCTCGGTGGATCGCTGGGTCGATCGGAAGCCGAATTTCCGGGTGGGAGGATCGACGGCCAGATCAGATGGTGGAGAAAGAGAGTTTCTCGGTGTGAGATGAGAGACCAATGAGGAAGACAAATGTGAAGAAATTCGGGGATCGAAATACTGAGAGACAGAGAAGCAGAAAGGATGCAAAAAGGACAGCATGCTTTGCCCCTCGCTTTGCTGCAACAGCAGTGCAACAAACTCAACCTGCAAAAATGTGGGCCCAAAATTCAAGCACAAAAAACTACGTGATCTATTCTAGCAGCGCAACATCTGCGTGCAGTGTGATCCTCTGTGTGTGTATATGCTTTTAAACACGTTCCGTCTGGCACAAAGGTCCATCCAAGCTCAGCGGCCGGAGAATGGCCCAGAATGTGCTTGGCGAATTGCATCTGGGCGTTGGGGAAATTCAGTGCCCACCAAGAGGATGAGAATTGGAGGGTCGTGGTGTGGCACAAGGAATCCAATCTTGAAACCGTACCCGGGTTTGGCACTACAGAAAGCCTTTGATTCCATCATCGGGGTCCAGATTTTTTGGGTCGAAGCAAATCATCAGCCGTGGTCCGTGATCGGCCGTGACGGGCCCTGGGTCACTTTGGTTCCGCGACATGAGACTTGGAAAGGAAAGTCACTGGAAGAAACTGTGCGAAACCATGAAAATCCAGATGAAGCAAAAGGAGGAAGACTTTGACCAACATTCTCCCACAGGGCCAACATCTTCTTGTCCGTTTTCCTTCTTGAGCTCTAGTCATTGAAAAGACCTGAAAGTCCTGAAATCCCCCGGTCTGGCTAGCAGGCTCCCTGACCAGCAAACTCATGCTGGTAGAACGGAATGAGAAGAAGACATTGAGTTCGGAGCATCGGCTGCATCGGTATCAGATCCGGTTTCGGCGAGCAAACAAGATAAAGATTGAACCCGGGTCAATGGTCTGAAATGCAACAGCTCTGGGAAGCCTATCAGCCTGCGGTTGAGCGTTGTTCATCCCTCTATCCAAGGCTTGCCAGAGAAATATCTCAAGGCCTGTCCCCTTCCAAAAAGTGCGCCAGAAAGCCCGGCTGAGTGCAGAAACCTCAGGGACCATGTAGACGTCAGCCACCCCAGAGCTTTTTTGCAGGGATGTACAGTGTACAGTTAGTCACCCAGTCGCTCACGGCTACAGTAGCAGTAGCAGTATCTTTGTTCTTTCTTGGCTTGCTTTGTAAGTAAAAAATACCAGGTAACTCCTTTTTGTCAACTGGTTGTCACGCTGTTTATTGCAAGGGTACTTTCTTGCTTGTTACAAACATGCTGTGTTGTTCCACTTTTGCTTGCAAGTTGGTTTGCATGTGTTTTGCATTTATGATTGATGTTGTTTTTCTGGCTGCATTTTGGGATTGCTTTTTGTGCTGCAGTTGTTTTGCATGTTCAAGATGATCAACTTCTAGAATAAAGGGGTCTGGCAGACACAATAATACAAATTATATGTGCGGCAGAACCGCAATCATTCACAACCCCACCACTCTTGGAGCTGTCAGGCTGTTGCCCCACCCTGTCAGTCAACTTCCACTTGATCCTCGCACCTCTGACGATGTAATCCTCTCATGGAGCTTCTGGTGGTTCTGAACGGCACGAGGTTACGCGGCGAAGACGTGGACGGGTCGAGGGTCCAAACGATTTGGGCTGCATGTGGTGGCTGCGGCAAAAACGATGTCGTGGGTGTCCCGGTCATGTTTTGCAGTGAATAAACTGAACAAAAGCAGCTCAAAGGATTCTAGAGTAAATGCAAAGTGTTTGGGAACCGGAAGCTGCCTATTTGGTTGGTCGGAACATCACGCATGACTGACAGTGAAAAAAAGGGGTCGCCCATGTTTAGCATCAAGCGTAAAGGCGATCTTTTTCCACAAGAAACCGGTGTGTTCTTCCTTTTTGCCAGTGCTGATGTCAAGAAAACAAATCGCACATTGATTCAAAGATGATTCTTTCGAAAGGGAAGCACTCTTTGCTAAGACCCATCGATTCGCCCAAATGATCTTCATTGGCCGGCTGACCAGCCTTTCTCGCCATGTGCTTGTCCACCAGGACCTTGGCGGAAGCATTCAAGTCTTCGGACCACCCCCTCGGCACCGTCCTGTGTCGTCCACCGGTTCACCTCCGGTGGGTTCGACGGGACGAGAACAGTGGCTGTCCACGGCACGGCAGCAGATCTTGGTCATGGACAATTCTACATGCGTCCGTGGTCAGACCGGTCAGCGCAAAAACGAGCGAGCTGATTTGCCATCAACTACAAGAGGCAAAACGCACATGCTGGGTGTAGAGCCACGAAGCATGTCCACACAAAAGAACGCTCTGAACCTGGAAAAAAACTCCCAACACGAGAAGCAACAATGTCTAGAGCCAATTGCACGTGCGTCATTCCTGTGTGTTGCAAGCACTGCCAAGTCTCTCTTCAGGCACTGCCAATTGATCCCCTCAAACATGGATGGTCTCTTCAGGCAATTCCAAGCCAGGTGAGGTCTTCAGGGATCGAACACGTGGTGTACGTGGACCTGAAAGAGGTGACCTACCAGGTGTGATCCCGGCCTTTCTTCAAAGGGCTGGATGGAGCAACCCTTCCGACCCTTTGGGTGCCTTCCCCCTTTCCAGTTGCTGTTGGAGGGCAAAGCAAACCACTCGCTCCGACCTCCCCGTGTGAACGAAGTCCGCGGCCGTCCGCGGCCGGCTGTCCGCGGTCGCCGAGACCCCGGCGCCAGCGATTCGGCCCAAGGCCAGGCCGAAGATCGGCACCTGCACGAGCTGAGGATGAGAGAGGTCCATGAGCTCCGTCTGCATGAAACGGGACAAAGACTGCCGGTGTGGCAAGACATTTGGTCCTTTTGGATCCTTTTGGGTGGAGTTCATGGATTGAATTATCGTTCTTTTCGATCTAGTGCCGTTTTGCGGGGTCGTCTTGGTTTTGTCCAGCACCTCAAACAAGAGATCGATCGATGGAAATTCCGGCACTTCAAGGACTGCGACAGTGACTGCCCCTAGTCTGTGTCTCCAAACCCCGCAGAGCGGTGATCTGCCAGCTCCAAAACAGATCCACCGGCAAAAAACACGCGGTGATCTGCACCCCGAACAGGCAGTAGAGGCCCGAGAGCACCACATATTCCTCGCCAGCCTGGGAAGGTTGGGAAGGTAGGTTGGGGACGACGAAGGCCTGGGCATTCGCCCTTGAAAGGGGGAAGCTCCGAGACTTCAGTGGTTCCAAGTGGTTCCAAAACTCTTCAGTTGTTGTCCCATCACCTGCAGCGGAAAGCAGATTCTCCACCGCGAACTCGGACTCCGTGTCAGCTCTGCTCCCACCACAAGTTCAACCCAAGTGGTTCAAACTCAACCAGTGACCCCCAACATGTGTGTGTAAACGTTTTGGCCTATTGAAGACGAACCCAAACAACACAGCTGAAAGGCAACAAATGTCCAAGGGCAACAACAAGCTGCACACTTGTGCACGATGGTCAATGTTGTTGGGAAGACAGTACCCCCTCTCTAAAGGAATGCAAGTTCTAAGCAAAAAACAAAAAACAAAGAAACACATCGAATCTCAAGGTCGGCGCATCGGTTCGCCGCTCGCGCCCTGCAGCACCTCCCCTGGCGCCACTGAGGTTCCGGCGTAGCAAATGGCCTCGAGGCCCGCCGTACTGCAGGCGGCCACAGCAAAGTAGATGCCCTGCAGCGCTGCGTCCGGCTGCGGCCGTCGCGAAGATCTTCGTTGCTTTGGGGGAGACAGATGTGGACCGAAGTTCTGAATGATCTGCCCTCGTTGTCCGCCGGTCCTGTGCTCTTTGGTGGGGTTCTCTCCTTCTCGGAGGGAGGTCCTGTGGATGTACGTGGACCTGTGTAGGTTCACGGTTCGAACAGCGTCTACAATAGACTGACAATAGATTGATAAAGCTGATCAATCTCAATGTCCTTATCAAAAAATAAGACCCTTGTTGAATGACCTAAAAACATCTAAAAAAGCACGCGCCCTTCCCATAGTCCCTGAGTGACTGTCATAGTTTGAACTCTTTGCGCTTCAAAGGACAGTGTAGGGAGAAGACGAATGCGCAAAATGAACAAGATCCGGAGAGTGCGAAGATTTTGTTTAACTCTGTTTACCGAACTGACCTATGTCTACAGATGGGGTGCCGAGAAGTGTATGGCCCAGCAGTGGATGATGGTAGTCATGGCCGTCAGTCATGGCCCAACTCGCAGGAGGTGTCGAGTTCATGCTCTTCCGCAAAGAGCCGGCCCAGAGTGCCCTCAGGCCCAACGACTGCCTTGCCACACTCAAGTTCTCAAAACTCCCAAAAACACTGAGACACCGAGAAAACCCATCAAAAACATATAAAAAACATATCATCCCAAGAAAAAAACCGACCAAAGGAAACGCCGAGACCAATCCGATGACCCATCCTCGGACACCCAATCCGTTTTGGTCTCGGGCCCGGATCCAGCTCCATCCGCAGGAGGTGGACTGGGAGGTGGGGACTGGTCAAAAGCCACACCAATAGGCATAGTCTATCTGGGGAGTTATGTGAAGCGTTCATGGAACCCCTCGCCGTCGTTTGTGAAGAACGGCCGAACACCACGCTTTCACTCGAAGCCTTCCATTCCAAGTGAATCTTGTGTTTGGCACAACCCGCCACAATGTAATACAATCCAGGCTAATCCAGGCACACAAACAAAAAGCTCCATCGTCCACGCTCATGAATCGGTTGTGTGACATTTCCAAAAAAATTGCATATAGACAGCAATTGGCCACGCTCCTTTACAAAAGCTGTGTCTTCAATGTCTATGTTGGAAGCATTGCCTAAAGCGTTAGCTGCCCTATGAGGGCTTGGCTATCAATTAAACAATTGGCTTTCAAAGGTGATTTCCGATTCCAAGTCTTTCGGTCCAAATCTGGGAATCATGATGAATCATTCGCCGTCGATCGGAAACTGGAGAGTCAGTGTTTCCCCCTTTGGCTATGATGGGAGGATCGATGCGCTTTCAGTCCTTCAGCTCGTGTGAATGAGCTGAGCTGCGCTGCTGGTTCTCCCCAGGAATGCCGCTGGGCGCAAGAGAAGTAGATGAAGCTAACCTACTTCTCCTAACAAGTATATAATATTTTTACATAGCCCCCAAATGGTTCAGGATATCCTTTCCAAAGAGGTTCAAATATGTGTTTCTAGAGGGTTATAGCTGGAGGAAATAAACAACTTTGAGGGATAGTCAAAATAAACTGTCCCTTCAGTCAGGACGTGGGAAGTTTGCGTTTCACCAGATTTTGGTGAGGCCATAAAACCATCCCGACCAACCCAGCCAATTGGTTTGTCCATTTTCTGCCTCCCAACCATCCAAACCAGCCGGACCAAACGATCGAATCTGCCGACCATCACCCGTTCAGTTCGCCAAGCAACAGCGACGATGGCGCCCAAACCGATCCAAATGAACCAGGCCGCCCAGGTCAAAATTGCACTGGCCGCCGGTGTTTGGACGACGGTGGAAAGGGGAAGGGGTGTGATTCACGAGGAACAGCAAGACGATATAGACTCATCGATCTCTCTTCAGGGGTGGGTTGAATGAGTTATCAAAGCGGGTTTCGATGAGATAGTTTCTGAGTTCTATACGCACAGGGACGCACGTTGCGCATGCTTGGTTTCCACGTGTAGGCGCTGGGAGGGCTGAACGGACCGTCCAGATTCAAAGACGGAGTGGGACTGCTGAAGGGCGGAGGGATCGCATGTGGCGGAGTTGTATTGAGTGGACACGTGGGTGTCGCTCCATCTGGGAACTTGGAGCGACACGGAGTGCCCAGCTGCGCGCGCAGCTCCGGACGGAGCTGGTGGTCAACGGGCGCGGTGGCGCCGCTGCGTCTGCCGCTGGCCGTGCCGGAGCTTCTCGGTTTCTTGAGTCTCATTTGCTAGCATGCAAGAAAAGCCCTGTGCCTGGAGTCTCTATATACGCCGGCTGTCTGACAGTCTGCCCCACGAAGTTCCACTTTCTGAAATGGGATCTGGGCTGCCATGGGCGCTGGCGCGCCCAGTTCTTGAAGCTTCCAAGGACGGGATCTCAAGGGCAGAACGGGCGGTGAAGTCCTTGGGTCTTCACCTTCGTCATTTCGGAGCAGCGATGTTAATAGGTCTAATCATCAGCATGTCTGTGGTTGGAAACATATTACAGTAACCATTTTGTTAGGTCCATCAGAATCAACGAACGATTCTTCTAACCTTCTGGATTCCAATAGATCGCTGTACCTCCGCTTTGATATTTCGATGTCCTGTCCCCGTCCTCCGCGGAGGACGGGCACCCGATCCGCACCTCAAATTCTCGGCCACCTTCATCTGCGCGATCTTCACGAGGCTACCTGCGAAGCTCAGGGGCCAAAACGCGCACACGAAGCTACCAAAAAGACCAAACCACAGCAGTCACGTTCGACGGGATGCGATCCATGGAGGGTAGATGAGGGGCCGGCCCTTGTCACATCCACTCACTGGATGGGACGAGCCACACCATCCCTTTGTGTCACCCGATTCCTCCCGCAACCAATGGCTTCGTCACACGGTTGCGGAGTGGGGTGGAGATGTTGCGATCGTGGCTGAGTATCAGAGCTCCTGATTCTGCGTGATCGTGGCTGTCGAGAGGCTTTGCTCAACGAAATCGGTGGTTTCTCCAGCGGAGAGGGATGAGTGGTCAGTCGGTGGGAGAGGTGCTCAAAAGAGAGGCATGTTTTGACACAAACCGATGTGGGACACCTACGGAACAATGCACTGCAGTGGGGTGTAGGCAGCAGTGGTGTGGTACCCATCTGACACCTTTCCATATCATCAACAAAAGACCAAAACACAAAATTTAAAGTCTCTTCAAACTAACATTTCGTGTATGTCTCCACAGCAAACACCACCTGATAAGGTCCAAAGTTCTTGCTGTCCACCCGTCCATGGACGGCCCGAATGGCTGCTCTCCAAGCTGCTACTCTCCTCGTGCACCTTGACGATGTCATCCTGTGGGCGATTCCGGTCCCAACATCCTGGTGACATGGGCGTCCCCAAGACCAAACAGGGCCTTGGATGGCCGACCCAAGCTCCGAAGACCTGGCGACCTGGCGACCAGGGAGTGCCACTCCACTGGCCGGAACCACCCGAACCCTCCGGTTCGTCCGTGGTGAGAGACGGGAGCGGTGATCCATCGGCTGGAGAACAGGGCGGACAAGATCAACGTCGCAGCCAGAGCCAGGGGGATCTCCCTAGTAAAATACACACCCACCATATCCTACATAGGTTGGCTCTTAACAGCTTGTGCTTTCCATCACCAAGCTACCCCGGCTCATCTTTCAAGTTCAGCAATGAATTGGATGCTGGATCTCTTAGCCAGCCTTTTGTGCTCCTTGCCGAGCCACGATGCTGATTTGACCGTTCTTGTCCTTGAAGCAGCCCAACCTGTGTTTCCAGTGTGGCACGCGGGCCGGTCTTGGACCGGTCGCGACCGGTCCGTGCGCTACCGGCCTTTTTCGGTTTGACCGCGGTGGGCGGTGTGAGGGTGATCAACATGCTGCAACAGGATGACTCGGAATGGTGGACGTATGGTCCATGCAAAAGGTTACCAAACCTCAGCGTGAAAAAGATTCTAGTGTTGAGGTGGATTTCTGCTCAAACAGCTGGAGGCTGGTTTTGCACAACCGCCCTGCCTACCTTGAGTGTGGGGAACGAAGACAGAAGCTGCTAGCACTTGCTGATGTGAAGGATGCTTTCTATGTATCTCTTGAAAAGGTTGATGGTTGGTTTGGTACAGAGAGTTGAACAAATGTGTACTTATATCGATTGGGGGGCCAGAACATGATTGAATCTGGAGAGAAAATCACTTGTGCCGACTGGTGCCAGCCGTTTCTGCATCCAGCAAACCAGCGAACACGGACCTTTCATGAATCAGGAGCAGTGCATGTCCGACCCCCAAGCGTCTCGCTGAAGCTACATACTGCTAGCCGCTGGCCCTTAAACCCCCCAAAAAGAAAGGTTCTCCAAATCGCGCAGTTTCTTATGGCTGATCAATGATATCAATGACATTCTGAAGCTCTCGAACCCCCCAAAACGGCGAAAGGGCAAAAGCTTTGTGCGATTTGGTTCCTGGTTTGGATCCAAAACGGTGGAACATCCGCAGGTGGCTTGATCCTTGCTCCCGTATCTATGAACAAAGACAGAATTGATCCACATGTCGACAGCGTCCTTCCTTCAAACCCACACAAGGCCACACCATATGTGGCCGTGCAACTCATTGTGCGCGCGCTGGATCAGTTTGATGGCCATGTTCTGCTTCTCCTTGGCACCGGACGAAGCTGCACTTCGCTGTCTTCGTCTGACCGTAACACCTTGGAGCTCCTCTTGAGTCACTGGGCCTGGAAGCATGTAGCAAGTCAAGACCTATGTCGCCACGAAAACATATTGGAACAAAAAACACAAATACGCTGATTCCGTGGGTGAAATCCAACACATCATGGGCGTTCAATGGATTATATTTCATGCATTCCGGATGACGAAGAACAGGTCGATGCCGAAGCGTCACCCGGCGTTCGGTGAGGATCGATCTGCCGGCTCAAGGAGGATGAGTTGTTTGCGCAAAACACCGTGCGGATTGTTTTCCGCGCTTGAACAAAAGGGCTATGTCAACCCTTCCACTTGGTACACTTCTCGATTACAGTGCGTCATTTCGCACCTTCGAACTAGGTACACTTCTCGATTTGGGTGCACCCTCCATCATTCAAAAGCTGTGTACACTTCTCTATTTGTGCACCGGCACCCCCCCTTGGCCAAAATGGCCATTTCGGCGCCACCTTTCCAAAAACGGCCCTTTGGCCTCAGCTCAAGCCCCCTCACTCATTCACCTCCTAGGGAGTCCGGAACAGCGTGTACCCCACCCACGTCTCCTGGAGGTACCCGCTTCTCTTTCCCTTTCTCTCATCCACGATGACGAACTTCTCCTTCTTTCCGGGCAGAGCGGCCCAAGCGATGGTCAGCCGCCATGGGGACCACTCCTTCTCACCCCAAAGGTTCGGGTTCTCGAAAAGTCGAACATCTTCTTTCGTTCCTGCACGTGCTCTCGCACTGACACCTTTCCCCCGTCCGGCAAGTCCTCGGTCGTCAACCACGTATCTTTGGCCGCCGTCCGCTTGGGTGGTATGCCCACTTTCCGTCTCAAGGCCGGGTTGAAGAAGCCAGGCTGGAACAGCTCATCCTGCAGAAAGTCCCAGACCTCCTCCCTCCATAGGGTCCACTTTCCAAGTGTGATTCCATTCCCAACCGGCGAAACGAAGTTCAGCGCTTCACTCCTCACGCCGATCCTCTGGTTTTCAGTGACCGTCTCTTCGGACGTTCTCCCACCAGCATCAGCACCATGTCCAGTCACCTCCTTCTCTTCCGTCTCCTTCGCCACCATGCCTGGTGCCCTCTCCGATGTCGAAGATGTAGCTCTCCCCTCTGCTTCTTCCATCATTCGTGACGCTAGCGACTGGGATGTCCTCCAGTCCGAGCTGTGTTCATTGAAGATCACGGGCGTGCCCTCCGAGTCCATCATAATCCAAGTCCCTCCGAAGTTCTTCCTCGCTCTGCGTCTCTCCATCATGCGATCCCAGGCCGACATTATCCCAGTCCAAGACTCGCCCTGCGTTTCGTCTCAGCCTCAGGATCGTAGTGTCCGCGATGTCATAGGTCTGGATCGGGTACCCGACGGCGTTCCGCTGGTTCAGGTTGGTCTGGATGTAGGTGGTCTCGAGCGCCAGCTCCCTCTCACCCTCATGGCTCTCACTGAAATCCGGTCCTGGTCCCTGCCTCCTGGTGTTGATACCTTGGATCATCTGGTTCAGCCCAAGGATAGAGTTCTTCGTAGCCAAATCCTCTGGTGCCCCGAGTTGTCTCAGACAGCTTGTCCACACAGTTGACCTCCGGTTCCAGGATCTTCTCGATCACAATCTGTGCAACTCTGTCTCCCTTGTAGATGCGGAGGTCGACGTCCGAGTGGTTCCTCAGGAGAACCTTCACCTCGCCCCTGAAGTCTCTGTCAATCACTCCAGCTCCTGTCTCCACTCCCCTTATCGCAAGCAACGACCGCGGAGCAATCCTGCCATAGCTGCCTGGTGGAATCTCCAAGGCAATGCCAGTCTTCACCAGGACCGAGTCTCCAGGCTGCACCATCGTTTCAATGGTCGAGTAGAGATCCAGACCTCTGAACCCCGAGTGGGCACCTTGGCATCAGGCGAGAGTAACTTCACCCTCAGCTGTTCCTTCGGGCTCAACCACCGCCTGAGATTCCTGCCGCGCCCACTCTGAACACCAGGTCGCCGAGGATCGCGATAGCTGCAGTGATCAAGATGATAATCCACCACTCGCTGCTACCACTTTCTTGATGCCCCCGACGCCTCAGCACTGGTCACCAGACTTGCAGCTGCGATCAGTAGACCAAGTCCCTTCGCGAACTTTGGATCTGGAGGCCCTCCACCCACATCTAATTTCTTCATCTCGACCTTCTGATTCATCTCGATCTTCTCGACTCCCAGGGTCTTCTTGAAGTTCTTGAGTGCTTGACTGAGGAGCTGCTTGGTCATCCCATCTGCCACCAGCTCCGCGCCCGCCACATGTCTCAGGGTCACTGCCCGGATTCTCAAGTGTCTGGTCCTCCACAATGATGTAGTCCCGGCGGCTATGGCGATCGCTGCCGTGGAGTCGGAATGCAGCTTCAAATTGGCCTTCATGCCAAGCGCTGCTTCCACCAAACCTCCAATGGACCTCACCATGACGAGGCTCTCCACCATCGACATCAGTTCCGCCTCCACCGTCGACAAGGTAATGAATGCCTGGCGCGTCGTCTGCCAGGCTACTGGAGTGCCACCCATGCACGCCACGATCCGAGTCAGGCTCTTGAGTTCCGAGGAGGCATAGGAGGCGTCCGAGTAGACCTCAACCGTCGACTCCACCTCCTCCTTCCCACCTTCTCCACTGATGAGAAGCCCTTCATCTCTCGTCTCTCGGAGATAAGCCCTCACCTGCTTTCCGATGGCGGCCACTCCCTTCGGCCTTTTGGATGCCCACTGACACATGATGTTGACCGCAAGGCAGATGTCAGGACGAGTCCTTCCAGCTCACCGGTCTCCTTCTGAGCCTTGGCCACCTCCTCAGGAGTCGGAGACTCTTCCTCTTCCCATTCTCCTCGTAGTCCAGGAACAGGTTCTCCAGGTAGGCCCTCTGGTGGATGAAGAAGTCCCTTCCCCGTTTTTCACCTCCATTCCAAGGAACCGCACTGGTTCTTCTCCTTCTCGAACCACGATGGCTCCCCATGTTCCAGTTCTCTCGAACCTTCTGGTAGAAGTCCATGATCACCGCCTCTTCTCCAGCCACGATGATGTCATCTACGAGGTGGCGAACATCCCCGCCAATTCCCAGCTCTCTTGTGCCTTCTCCTGGCGTTGGATCACCCACATGTCATCCTGTGGCGTCTTCACCACCCGAAAGCAGGCCTCGCCCGTCTCCCACTGCACTTCCTGCAGTTCTCACACGCTTTCAGTCCGATGAAATGAAAATCAGGAGGGAGGCGGAAGCTCCACAGAAACTGCCATCTGGGAGGGCCCGCGACTTGTTGTCGTTGGCCATTACGAAATCGACTGACGTGAGTGCCAGGCAACTTTTGGACATCGCGGACTCTGGGAGGCTGCGGACGCTGCTGGGAGGACCCCCTGCTGAGGTATAGGCAGCCGGGCCCACCGCCCCTGAGAGAAAGGGAAGGGCCCTTTCGATTTGGCCTACCGCACCCGGATCCGATGCTGTGAGGAAACAGGTGGAAGACGACACGGTGTTGTGGCTTCACACCAGCGGCGGTGCTGATGGGAGTTGAGCAGCCGGAGGACCCGGAGGAGTATTTTGGGGAAGAAAGGCGATATGCCTCGTACTGGAGCTGGCCGGAATGGAAGGCACACCGTGATCGCTGGAGTCTCGAGGAGGTGAGCTTCGATCAGGGGCCTATGGGACATCCTCGGACGAAACCCACAAGGTTCGGGACCAATATCCTCGGCGTGGGACAACTTCAAGACTGCCGAGGACCTGGAACTGGGGACTGGGGATGGCGGAGGATTGGCCGAGAGTCTTAGCGCTAAGCCGTGCAAGAACCCTCCTGGCGGCTGCCGGCTTGGATGAGAGCTTTTGGTGCCACGCCTCGAGGCACTGGGCCGAAGGCAGGCTTCGTCGGCAGCTGGAGTCGATGGGTTGGGAGCGAAGAGAACTGGTCCCCTTCGGCCACACGGTATGGGCCAAACGAAAGCTCGTTACAGTGACAGGAGGAAATACCTTTCGACCACCAGGACGAGAGTTCGAGTACCTTTGCCCGGCGGTCACAATGTCTTTCACGACCCCTGGTTACTTTGTCCAGGAGATTGACTCCGGCAAGCTCTTTCACACCGGAGACATCGTCCAGGTTGAAGAAGCTCCCGACAGGATTGAGTTGCCGGCGGTGGAAGGTGGCTACCTCCATGAGGTCGAGGAGAGGGAAGAGCGAGCTCAACCATGGAAGAGACCGGGCAGGGTCAGGGGTGGCTTGAAACTGCTTCGAGCCTCGGAGGAGAGTTCGACAAGAGCCTTGCTGCGGTGGAAGAAGCTGTCGGGGACCCTCAGGCCTTCCTTCAAACCCGGATGGTGGGATTGGTGGAGGTGAGGAAGAATCTGGAGGAGTGGACTCCATCGATGACAGAAGGATATGAATCCCTAGTCGACGAGTCAGAAGCGGTGGAGCCGATCAGCCGACTGAGGATGGCAGACCTGAAAAAGGAGGCGATCGAGGCAGGAAGAGACTTTGATCTCGCGCCGGCCAAGGCGATCTTCAGTCGGAAGGCAGGTTCAGGGCGGCACAAATGCCGTGGAGTCGCGTGTGGGAACTATGTGGGGAAGACCACCACTGAAAGCACCTACGCGTCGGGAGCTGGGAGCTGTCAGGTGCGCTTCCTCCTCAAGACGGCAGCTATCCAGTCCTGGAGTGTGTCAACGCTGGACGTAAAAACTGCCTTTTTGAATGCGCCGGTGGACACTTCGGTTGAGAGGGGACTGGTCATCGTGGAACCGCCCCGCATTTTCAGAGAAGCCAAAGTCCTACGGCATCCTGAAGAAGTGTGGCTGGTCCGTAAAGCATTATACGGACTATAGTCACGTCCCCGAAGGACTGGGTGCTTCATCGTGACAGCCGTCGTCGGCAAGTAGGAATAGACCTCGCTCTTCTCGTTAATGATCGTATCCAGACAAAGCGTCACCCTCTGAGCATCATCCAGCTCCTTACTCCAATACTTGGCCGTGTCGCCGCTGAACCGGTGGGTCACTACCTCCTCGGCTTTCCGCACCCTTCTTCGGACATGTCGGTTCCACGGCAGTGACTCTCCAGTCCATCCAACTTTGGGAAGCACTCGTACCAGGATCTCGTCAGGGACCTCCGGAAGAGCTTCTTGAGCTCCCGCAAGTGCTTCTTCTCGTCCTCCTCGATGGCATGGATGCCGAAGGTCTCTTCCATCTCCCCCCGGATGACGGCCAGACGGGCCCTCTCCATGACCTGCTTCCTCTCGATCTCCGCGATGAGCTCCCTGCCGAGTTCCTCGCTGACCGTAGGACATGATCATCCCAGCTTCACATCGACCAAGGCTCCCGATGGGTCCACCAGGGTGAAGCGCTCCTTGTCCCAGTTCGCTTCGTAGCCCAGCTCAATCAACACTCCAAGCGGCACAATCGTCTGTACTTGGTTCTTCACGAGGAGAGTCTTGGACCAAGGAAGCTGTCAAAGTCTCGCTGTCCCTTCTGCTAGCTCCACCAAAACCTCATGGCCTCTCTCCCATTCTGCCTCGTCTTCAGCCTGTCTCAGGGCGTGAGTTGCCCCACCATCCAATAGAGCTCGTCGCTGCCAATGGCCGGAGACTCTTCAGCAGCGTAGTCGCCTCTGTCAACAGCTCCTTGACATCACCTGAACTCCCAGGCTGAGTCTTCTTGCCAGCACTCGACGGCAGTTCTCCTCTCTGGTCCTGCTCACCCTTGATCTCCACAGCATCCTGTTCCATCTTCTTGACCGAAGCTGCTGAGACCGGGTCTGATTTCCCATTCTTCGCAGTCTGGTCAGGTGAATCCCTCAGCTTGGCGGTCTTCCCCGCCGCTTGGTCGAAGAGCAACCCCAGCACCGTCCACGCTTGTCCATGGACCCTCAATCGTGCTTGAAGGTGCAATCCCCACCGCGTCGACATCCATCCTCTGAGCCCCAGAACCGGCAGATCTTCTCCTCCCTAGCCGGCCCTTCATTCTTGGCCTTCACAAAATTTTTCTCCCCTTTCTCTTCCACGGTCTGCGCGAACGCCGTGACCTTCCCGACCGGAGGCGTCGTGGTCACCGTTGATGGTGCTGGAGTATGTGTCCGGTCCAGAAAGGCCGACTCAGCTTCAGCCAGAAGTGCATCGGAGAAGTTCAGGACAGTCCTCAGGTTCGGTCAGACGTCCACCAGCAATGTAGCCCGAGTTGAGCTCAGTCTCAACGAAGTCTGGGTTGAGCTCTTCGTCAACACGTCAGAGAGTTGGATCTGGTGTAGCGATGTCCAACTCCTCAGCCCTTCTCAGGCTGCGCCTCCAACCTCGAAGACCCTCCAGTAGGCCCCCAGATCCTTTGGGATCATTGGCTCAACTAACATTCGAAGCAATCGAGCCTTCTCAGCCAAGCCACCCGGTTGGTAGTGCGTCAAGACAGCATAGAGCAAGTCCACGCTTCCAGTGGCTCTGTTTACCAAGACCTCCGCTCGGAGCTGTGCAGGAAGGGCATTGAGTAGCATGATCTGTCCTCGCTGCTCCAAACGACTCCACTGTCCGGTGCACTCTGTCGGGACTTCTGGCCGTACATAAAGTCGTTGCACCGGCTCAGCCTTCAACCAACTGGTATGCCGTCATCGCCCGGTTTGTGACCTGCTCCCACCACTGCGCAGAGACCGAGCTCAGGTCTCTCATAGTCTTATGACATAAAGCTGCCTGCTATGTCTGAAAAACCTTAAAATATCTATTTTAGGAAAATAATCGGAATAAAATAGGAAAAAATAGGAACTGAAAATAGGGAAAAAAAAGGACACAAAGAGGATGAGTCTCAAAAATAGGAAAAGAAAAGAGCTGGATTTAGAAATAGGAAAGGAAAAAAGGAAAAGAATGGCAGCACTCTAGGACAGGAACATGAAATGGATACGAAGAGCAAATGACTGGAAGCAACATACTGGAAGCAAACTTCCGTTCATTTTCCTATAAAAATTGATTACTTCATGTCATTTTCCTTTAAACCATCCGTTTATTTTCCTTTAAACAATTACTAACTCCGTTCATTCTCAATAAAAAATGATAAATTCCTTTAATTTCCCTTTAAAAAATAGAAATTCCTTTAATTTTCCTTTAAAAATGATGAATTCCTTTCATTTTCCTTTGAAAAGTTATAAATTCCTTTAATTTTCCTTTTAAAGAAATAAATTCCTTTCATTTTCCTTGCACAATTCTAAATTCCGTTCATTTTCCTTAAAAAAAATGATCCTTTCACTTTCCTTTCAAAAATTGATTATTTCCTTTCATTTCCTTTAAAAACTAATAATGTCCTTTAAATTTATATTTATTTTACTTTATTGTTTATAATCATATTGTTTTCATATTTTTGGGGGTGCCTGAAAATAATCCTATTTTTCCTATTTTTACTATTTTTTGGGGGGGCCTGAAAATCGTCCTATTTTTCCTATTTTTCCTATTTTCCTATTTTTTCCTATTTTTAATCTAAAAAATAGGAAAAATATGAAAAATTAGGAAAAACATAGGAATTGAAAATAGGAAA